GGGAGGGGGAGGGGAAGGAGGGAATGCCAAGTCATGGGGCCTGCTGGGCGCGAGCGCGACATCGCCCTGGCGCGGACCCGATGCGCGCCCACGTCCTCGGGAATAGGGACGTTTCCCAGAGACAGTAAGACCCTTTCCCAAGCGGCTGCCCCTTGTAGGGGGTGCCTGCATTGCTGGGATTAAAGGCCTGCTAGGGCAAGCGGATTGGATCTTGTGGCTGCGGGGAGGAGGCCGTCCTAGAGGCCCCTGCCACGCAGGGCTGATACTGGCCTGGCCCTGGGGACACACAGCACGATAGCACACAGTCCTGCAGAAGACACAGTCACACTCTGGCGGGCTGAGAGGCCTCTGCCAGGGCAACCATGCCAGCCCCCTCCTGGACTGAGAGGACAGCAGAGGCTTTGAAGACAAGCTCTGGGGTCCAGAGAGGGGGTTGGGACTATACCTGTGGCGGCCATTTTGCAGGTGTGGTTGGCCACCAGCCCTAGCTGGGCTGTGAGATGGGGTAGTCTGGAGTGGGACAAATGTGGAGCCTGCAGTGGGTGCAGCACAGGCAGTGCAGGGTGAGAGATGCTGCCAGCACTAGGGCCAGGTCTCAGGTCTGCGTTTGCATGTATTGAACAAACAACATCTATTTAGGCCTTGCTTGGGGAAAGGGATGGTTGGGGTCAAAACCCCAGGTCTCTCTAGACCTGAGTTATGCAAGAAGCCCACTGGCTGAGAAGGCCAGAGGGAGGTGGGGGGGGGGAAGTCAGCCTCAACCTGGGTGTGAAGCCTGGGGAGAGTGCTGGGTCCAAGGATGGGATCAGATGAGCAAGTTCATCTCATGCTGCGCTGAATCTGAAGAAGGGCGGGATGCCCTCCCAGGGTGTGGTCCACAGGACAGAGAGGTGGGAGCCAGGTGTCAAGGCAGGGTCCTCCCAACCCCAAGGATCCTGGGGAGTACCCCTGTAGTGAGGTCCTTCAAGATGCCTGCTGTGCGCTAGCCCCTCCCCTTGCTTTGGATGCTACCCTTCCTGGGTGTCTCCTTCCCCTTCCTCCTTGCTGGAGTGTTCCACAGATTGACTTACCAGGGGCCTCTGGGCTGAGCCTGCCACAGACCGGTGGAGACTGAAGTTCTGCACAAAGCCTAGGGCCACTACCCAGGCATCCAGCTTGTGCCCCTCCAATCCTCCCTGCTGTCACCTGGGCTGACCATGTCCTTTGGGAGTTAGGCAATTCTTCCTTGGGCTCTGGAGAGGGTGGAGGGGAGGGGGGACAGACATAGTGGAGGGTGGGGATGGGGGCCACATAGCCTCAGAAGATGACTCTGAAAGTGGGGAGAGAGGCTTCTCAGACCCACTCAGCCCAGGCTAGGCCAAACAAAGGGGGAGAGCTGGGTGCGGTGGGGCAAGGGGATTTTCCCATGGAGCCCTGGTTCCACCAGATTGGGATCTGTGGAGGAGCTACTAGCACTAAGAACTACAACCTGGCCATTAGGATTGACTGACCTTTGTACTTACCTAGGCTAGCCAAGCCCTCCAGGTTTGGAACCTTGTACATCTATCTGAGAGCTGGGTGGAGCCTGGGCCACCACCATGGGTGGAGAGTGGTGGGCTTTGGTCACTCATCAGCTAGTGACCCATAGAACACTAGAGAGGCAATGCCTCATTTAGTGTTAGGCCCAAAGGACAGGGCTCACCGCTCCCACCCTGATAGCCGAAGGGACTCGATGTATCACATCCCCCCACCCACCATCCCATCCATGCCCAAAAGCATCTGAGAACTCTGCTGATACTTGGCCACACCCTGCCCCAAACCTCATCATGGGTGACTGGATACCTAGGGACACAGCCAGGCAGACAATGGCCTGCATCCCCACTGGGTTCTGCCCATTAGGTGGTGGTTTCTGCCCACAGACCCACTCCTGCCAGAGGAGGGTTTGGGATCTTGGAACCTCATATCCAGGTCCCTTCGTATTGCACTAGGGGAAGGGGCAGGGACTCCATGGCCCCATCTGATACAGTCCACTTGCTGTTTCATTACCTGAACCTACTGGGATCTTGGCCCTTGGCCTGGCTGACCCCTTGGCCCTCCAATTCCCCTTTCCTCTAATGCCTTGAGGACCTGGGGAAAGACTGACTGTGTTGCAGATGTGGGCACTGCAAGGGCAGAGAGCACGGTCAAGATTAATAATGGCCAGCTGAAGCTGAGCCTCCTGACCCTTCTGGATTTCTCCCCCAGCTCTTCATGCTGGCCTTAGCCTCCTGCTGCCCTAGCTTGGCCTCCTGTGGTTCTGGCTCAGAGGCCAGGCTCTGAGTGGAGATTGATCCGGATGTGTGGATGTGGAGCTCAGAGGCTGGGCTACCGGATTCCGAGTAGGAGGGGCCTCTCTAAAGCCTCCTCACCCTGGATTTAATCTCCTAATCCCAGGCCCTGCAGTCTGGGCTGGCCAGGACCTGGCTCCCACAGAGCCTGGGGATTCAGATGGCCTAGGGATGCCCCCTGTGTGCTACCCCCTGCTCAGATTTCAGGACTTGTTGGCCTCTGGGGAGTGTAAGCCAGTACCTTGCCTGCCCAGGCCTCCTGCTCTTACTCCTTACCCCTTCCCCATGTTGCCTTGGGGGGACTGGAACAGCCATCCTGACACACACACACATTCACATGCACACACCTACATGAGCACATACACATGTACACACATATGCACACACAATACTCATGAGCATGTACACATTCACATGCATACACACACACACATAGCCTCTGCACCCTCTCTCTGCTCCCTGTCTTTGTTTCTTCTTGGTTCTCTTCCCTGGAACACTCTCCACCCGACCTCTAAGTTAGTTTTCTAGGCCCCCCTCAAATGCTGTCTCCACCATGAAGCCCGCTATGAGCCCCCACCCCGAGGTTGTCACTCTCTCCCCAACTGTAGGCTCCTGGGGATGGGGAGGAAGACAGTGAACATTTATTGGGTGCAGACTGCATTGTACACTTCATGTGCATCCCTTTTGCTGATGCTCCCAAGACCCCACTGAAGCAGGTGGTGTTGTTCCCATTTTTCAGACATGAATGCGAAGGCTCCTGTGAAGCCATGTGACTTTGAAAGAGGACTTGGAATTCGATCCCAGCTTCCTCAGACTCCAAAGATAGTTTCTCTTTTAGTGCTTTCTACCCACCTCTCCATCCCTCCTATCTAAAGCCACTCTTCCCTCCCCGACTATCCCCGCCCCCATGGTGTGGCCAGCACACTTTCTCACACACAGTAGGGACTCAGTGAATGCTGGTCCATGGCTGACTCAGTTGTTTTAGCCCAAGTAGTGCATTTTCTGGTGGAGCTCACCCTATCAGAATGGGGAGGTCTGTGGGTCTCTGCGCTTCTCATTGAGGGCCCACTGGTTTCTGAGGCTGACTGGGGAGATGCCCCCTTCCCTCTGGGTCTCATGTGGGGCTCCTAGAATGCAGCTCTAGGGATAAGCATGGCCCCTGACTCCTCCTGCAGGTCCCCTTTCCCTGAGGCTGGAGTGCCCTTGGGGAGTGTCGGGCTCCTACTCCGCATCTCAGCCCTGCCAGTAACCCTCTGGTGGGCCTCAGTTTTCTTCCCCTTCTGTCATCAGCTCAAGCCAGCTTGGTAAGGTGCATGGCTGGGCTGTCCATGCTCAAGGCCTTGGCTCAGTGGAGGGGTTGCTGGGGGCCTGAGGTAGAGTCTTACTCAGCTGCTTGGTGCCTTCTGGTCCCTGCTGTCTTACTGCTTCTGGGGCCAGGTTGTACCAGGCTGCAGGTCCCTGGGGCCTGGGAGAGCTGCAGTTTCAGGGCATGCAGCAGCTACTGGGGCCAGGCCCAGGAGTAACCTTAAAGTCTCAAACCCTTTGTGTCAGCTTTGTATGTAAGCAGG